AGTTATTGTGATGTTTGCTCCCTGTAGTGTCCAATCAATCCAAAAAAGCACATCCCATGAACATTGGAGTCAAGCCAAGTGTAGTGAAATGTGAAACAACAGTGGCGGCGGCAACAACTAAGTTATTTACCCCCGACAGCTTCCAGCTCATCAAGGGTCATGGAGCACAGCTTGTCCGCAAGTGTTTGCAAATTGCATCCCCGGTCAATGTCATCCTTGAAGGCATGAATGGGGATGGTCGCAACAAACAGTGAGCCCTTGATGACAGCAATCAGTTTGCTCCACATCATCTCAGCAAAACCAAACCACGTCCAGTTGTCATTTGCAACCACAAGGCGTGGAGTAGCGATCTTGTCCACCAAGTTTCTGTCACTTTCTGTGAAGTTCAGCCTCAGAACATGCCACATGTCAACTATACAAAACAACTGTAGTATAAAAAAACTATAACTATATACTATATACTATATATATATATTAATATACTAATACTAAATATGAATATAATATATGTCAATTGTCAGATGTCATATGTCATATGTTATGAAACTCGACTTAGCCAACATGTAATCAATGAAAGATGTAACCCACCGCCCTTCCTAGTGAGCTTTTGTAAACATAGTTTCAGCTCAATGTCCGATCTGACCTATATCACAAATGTAATGTCAATGTAATCACTGATTTCACCGATATTGTGTGCATGCCGGGAAGCTTCGCGTTCAACATGTTCAATCCCTGCACCAAGTCTGCAGCACATACCCTCAGTCCCTGTGGATAAGCCGTCTCCTTCAAATAGGTTGTCAGACGTTGTGTCTTGCAGGCATCAGCGACCAAATCTGATGCTCCAGTCAGAAATGCGTCCAGTGTCTCTGTGTTGATGGCCAAATCATTGGGCTCAAAACGCAGGTGTGTGGACTTCTTAGAATTGAGGAAGCTCCATCCTTGACAAGTGTGTGGAATGAGAAGCTTCTTCGCATCCGCCAAAAGATAGAGCTTGGGCGCCTGTGAGTCTTGGTCTTGTTCTTGGACTGAAGAATTCTCATGAGGAGTTGCCTCTGCCTGTTTTGGGCCTGGAGGATCCTCAGCAGGTCCAGATGGTGAGTCATGGTCATCGTCTGGCAAGTCTGACTCAGAATCACGATCGTTGCCTGCTTCCTTCTCTGCAGCCTCCATGCCCTTCTGTCTGGCAGCACCAAGTGCCTCGATGTTAGAAGTCTTTCTCTTTCGTTGAAGTTCAGCAAGCCTGCCAAGCGCAGTATGATGTCAGACGTCAGGTATATATTGAAAAAAAACAAACACAAAAGACATGTGTTGGGGGTAATGAGAGTGAACCATTCTCCAGCCACAACAAGCAACACGACAAGGCCAGCAGCAGGACAACAATTGATTGAGAACACAAACGCACTATATTGGACACATCGGCCTTTTTTTGTGGGCGAGCTCCTGTTCTTTGGCTGCCTCAAGAACATCAATGGACTTCTCCAATTGAGTGAGTACCTTCTTCACACTTTGCTCGTTTGAAGTCAGCTTTTTCTCATAGTCTGCCAAGGATGTCTTGGTTGGTGGCGCTGACGACTCAAACAGCTTTGACATTGCTAGTGATGCGGGACTCAACTTCGAAATGGCTTCATTCTTGTCGAAGCCCGCCAAAGCACTATCGCTACCATGTGATATGAGGATCTTTGGGCAAAGTCCATAGAACTTCTCCAACCGGCTCTGCAAGAGTTCTGTGAGCCTAGGTTGGTCAGTCCGTGAAACTTAAGTATGTTTTGAATGTATAAGGAACAATCAAAGTTCAGAATACCTAAATATATCTGAATATACAAGTTCCATCATGAGCACCCCCCCACCCACCCCCCCCCAAAAAAAAAAAACAACAACAACAACAAATGAAACAACCAAACAAACAAAACATCACAAAACAAAACACACAATAATGGAATTATGTTAAGCTTCCTTTCCTCCAAACACAACATGATTGAACATGTTTCTTCCAAAATGTGTAACCAGTGATATGGATGTGTGTATGTATACATACAGTATATACTTGTAAGCTTATATTGACAAGTAACTCCCTGCAATCAGCAAATGGTTGCGCCCGACAAATAATCTCAGATGCCTGTGCATCCAGTTCCTTAAGTCGTTCAATCCATTTGTTCTTTGTCAATATGGACCTCCGCTTCAATTCCAAAGCCTCAAGCTCTGGATCCTTACCACCTCTCGGTATTGGGGGGATGTCTGGAGTTGGGTTAGGCGCAGGCGTAGGCCCATCCCCTTTTGCCCTCCGCTTGGCCTTGGCTTTGGGTTTGGCCTTGGCCTTGGATTCAGGCCCAAGCATTGGTCGAGCATCCATGAAAGTCCCACCTGAGCCCGTGTTGTGTTGCAGAGAGTGAAGTCAGAAAACAACTACTGTAAATATTGAAACATATCAAAGGATACCCCC